AGCCAGGGTTTGAGTGCTCAGGTCCTCCTACTGCGCCAGCCTTGGGCTAAGCTGAGCTGGATTGGGGAGAGGCTGTCGTCCTCTTTCGTTTAAAGCTTTGGAACCGTAATGCACTTAGAGGCTTTGAGAGAGGAGGGTTTCACCCTGACTGAGACATGTGCTCATGTAGGATCATCCATAGGCTCCCCAGAATAAGAGCTCCAGGAAGAACATGTTTGAAAGCCTTTTGGGTCCTTTGAGCCTGGCTTTCCGTGATCATGTGGTGGGCTGGATGGTCCCATTTCCCCCCAAAACAAAACGTGGGGCGAAGAAAGCTTCACACCATGTATCCCTGCTGTCGACCCTTGAAACGACGTGCGAGGTGTACCCTACATAGCCACCCCTTTGAGCTCAACCAACACAATCTGGTGCCAGGGCTGCATCCTTCACACTCGGCCTACAGCTGGAGAAGCGTTTGTTGTCGACGGATCAGCTACAAGACACAGCACGTTCCTTTGTTCACCCATGGGTTCAAACAGCATTGCAAATCTCAGATCCAAAGTGCTCATGTTGATCTAGGTTCCATCTTCTACTTTGATGCTCCTTTTAAGCCCGTCCACCCCAGGTTTCTTTGCCCGTCCAATGTCAGGTTTTCTCGCCCGAGAGCGAGTGGCATTTTGGAAGCGGCGGAGGCTGAGTGCTCGGCCTTGAGACTGCCGCCGTCCGCGCCGTCCGCGCCGCGCTGCGCTGCGAAGCCGCGAAGTGAGTCGAACCGAATCCCCACAGGTTGTTTTTGTCTTCAGCGAAACGAGCACAGCTTTGCACACAGTTCTGTACACAGAAGAAATGTCGACCTTCTTGGGGAGCCAAGAGGTTGGGTACAGTATTTGAGCGCAGACATTGGAGCCTAGACATTGATCTTGAGATGAGGAGCCTCCCCAAGGTAAAGGGATTGCATGATGGCAGGTTCCATATAAAACATATAAGACCTTTGTAATCTGAAGCCACCACAACGCGCAACACGTAATCCCGCTTAGGTTTCCAAGCGGGGTTGGGTGGATCAGGAGCTTCTCTACCATAAATGTTGACAGTGCCTGACTTTGAATCGATGCGGGAGTTTGAACAAGCATATAGCAAGTTATCAATTATAAGGTGTGATCAGCTGTTACTATTACCGTATTAATCAATTACCTGGATACATAGCTCCATAGAACCAGCTTATTCGGGTCATGGTATGCTCGAACACGGTAGACCTTGATTCTGCTTGTGGCTGATTTGGTTTCCTCGCGGCATAGGCTTGGTCGGCCTGCAGTCAGCATTGCAGTCGGTGGCGCATGAAAACACATGAACAAAACTATCAGTATAGTGGGCAACTCTTCCTCCTATACAACATCAAGTCGCATCTTTTGGGGGAGAGTTTTCTCCATAGATGGTGCCCTGCTTTGAGCGCTTCGGAGCTTACCATCCTTTGCAATAGGGTCACTTGATGACGTGGGGTCAGCACCCATGACCAAGGAGAGGTAGCGTAGGGTTCCAAAGACTAGGGCCATAGTAGTAGTAGTAGTAGTAGTAGTAGTAGTAGTAGTAGTAGTAGTA